AGACCTTTTAGTCTATAAAGGACACGAGTGTTTGATGTCTGGGCCCAAATTAGAGAGGACGATGAGAAAAGGAAAAGTGTTAGGATGTATTTTAAGGTTTCTTATTACTACAAGGGGAGGGGTCAAGGCAAAATGCCAAGGTTAAGACAAAAATGGGCATCTAGAAATCGGAGCTGCTTGTTTCAAAGAATAAAGGCCATAAACTCTTCCAGCAACAGTCCTCTTTGTCTTACCTGATAAAATGCTACACAATCCAAAGGGAAACAGGCACGTACCCCTGACCTTTAGCCGTTTGCAGATCTTGGTCAGTTTCAATTACAATATTTTTGAGTCATATCTGTAGAAATTTTTAACCCTTTTTTGTGCGAAGGATCCTTTTGGCAGTCTAGTAAAGTATACTGAGCCCTTTTCAGAAAAAAATTTTTTTAATAAATTTATTTATTTTTTTTGGCTGCGTCGGATCCTCATTGCTGCGCGTGGGCTTTCTCTAGTTGCGGCAAGCAGGGGCTGCTCTTCGTTGCGGTGCGCAGGCTTCTCATTGTGGTGGCTTCTCTTGTGGAGCACGGGCTCTAGGCACGTGGGCTTCAGTAGCTGTGGTTCGTGGGCTCAGTTGTTGTGGCTCGCGGGCTCTAGAGCACAGGCTCAGTAGTTGTGGCACACGGGCTTAGTTGCTCCGCGGCATGTGGGATCTTCCTGGACCAGGGCTCAAACTAGTGTCCCCTGCATTGGCAGGAGGATTCTTAACCACCGCGCCACCAAGGAAGTCCAGAAAAATATTTTTAAATGCATAAAATACAACACAAAGGATTAAAAATGGAATCAATTATACTTGGTTATCAAGATAGTTTTAAGTTGTGATACAATAACGTATGTACTTCTGGATTAATGTATTAACGAATCTAGCAGCAGGTCTATCTGTTGCCTATACACATAATGGAGTGAAATGCTAAATCTCAGTCTGAATAGAGTAAAAATAAAGATGATTTTCCCCCATCTAAGTTCAAGGGCTCCCTGGATTCCATCTGTGGACCCTAGGTTAAAAACCTTTGGATGAGAGAGCCAATAAAAATACATTTTGTGACGCATCAAACGAAAAAGAAAGTCTTGCAAAATGCATTATCCATTCAACTGTGAGGTGAGGGGAACTAAGAATAAGCAATATTTTTCCAGAAACCATGATGGGCCATTAGTCAGCAAGAGAGCTGCATGCTTTAAATTGAATCCAGAAAGAGATTCAGCTCCCCTCATAAAAGTTACAAGAAAAGTTGAAGCTTTGAGGAACTGACTGGACTCTGCTAACAGCACTGCTGGACTCTGCCCTGAAGTGGGGAAACAGTGACCCGGCAGTGTAGTGATCCAGCTCAACTATGAACTTGAACAAATCCCCTTCCTTCTGGGAGCCTCAGTTGCTTCATCAGTAAAATTAAAGAGCTGAACATGTACCATGACCTCTTAGGGCCCTTTCAGTTCTAAAATTTCAGCATCAGATTATCTCTTCCTTATGTTGATTATTTCAGCCCACTGAGCTTAATTTCAAAACATCACTGCCTTCCTTAAACTTGGAACAGAAAGTTTTACCAAATTTTGAACACCCTCATGTACAACCTAACACCAATGTACCAAATATACGTATACCATTACAACTTTTAAAAATGCCTGTTTTGCACATCTCTACTTCCAAAAAAGTAATCACAGCATCAATCTTTTCTGCTATTAAAACACAGTTCCCATTCGAATCCTAACACCTTCACCTTAAGAATATACAAAATCAACACATGCTGGGCTACCTAGACTATGTTAACTATATGTTTTCAACATTTCAGCCAATGAGCAATATGACAGGGTATAAACCAGAAAGGTCCTTGACAACTACCTAATCTAATCATATTTCATTATTTCTAAAGAAACAGAGAAAGGGTAAGGGCCTAAGTCACTATCACAAAGCCAGTGGGCAAGAAAGGAATTCAATCCAGGTCTCCTGACTGCTGGTTCATCCTCTCCTCACGAACTATACCGAACTGCCTCTCAAATCCTGACACACTTCCCCAACTTCAACATTTTAGCCAGGTTTAAAATTAACAGCAAAAAAGACCTGACAGGTAGACCAGTCCTTTTCTCTATCTTCCATTACATAATGGACACAACAATGAGTTGTGGCTACGATGCATTCACTGGTTGAAATCAAGAAATAATTAAATTCTACCAATCTGCCAAGAAAATGATGACCCTACTAAAATCCTGACTAGCTGGCAATTCTCTTAATATTGTGTAAAGCATGAAAAGATGCAGAAGCATCTATATATGGATATAGACATATACATATATAGCTCCTCAGTCTACTCTCCAGGACCTCTTAGCAACATTTTACTATGAAATTTAGAAGCGAACAAAAAGGGCTACCACACAACCGTTTTTTATTTTTTAAATGAAAAACACACTGTATTTTACAAGCAAAAAGCTTCTATCAATATCAATATTGGGCATTTTTAGATCTCAAGGTTAATTTTATCAGTGAGAAAACCTACTAGAATTCTCTGCCATTATTTATGTTCTAGATGATCAGACATGCAAATCTGATAATAATTTTTATTTGATTGTTACTGCTGTTTTAAAAGGGAGAGCCCTGTCTCAAGTCCTAAGGGTAGGATAATGATTAATAAGGGTCTCTTTAAAGTCTCCCTACCTTTTCACCCTTTCCCCCGCATTCTTCAAATGTGTTCAATATCGCTAGAGAGTCAGAAAACTACTCTCAGAAACAGAAAAAGGCCACAATTCTTCTGAAGTATTCAAAATCCAGACGAGCATCTTCTCAGAACCTGGTCTCAACTCACCTTTCGCTTCCTCAGAGAGACCTTCCCTGACCTCCCAGCTAAAGAAGCAAGACCTGCCTACAACAGACATTTCCCAAGCTAACCCACTTCTGCTGAGAACTTGGCAGCACCCAAAATTGCCATCTACTATTCCTTTGTTTACATGTTTCCTCCTGTTTATACCTGCCACTCCACACTAAAATGAAACCTCCTTGTTCACTGCTGGAGCCGGTATGCCTAAACAGTGCTGGCACATAGTAGGTGCACAAATAACTGCTGAGTGGCCCAAAGTATTGATGTAAGTGCCAACTCTGTCATATGAAGTGTCTCCTGGAAAAGCATTCTTAAAGGACAGAGCACATGCAATTGGCAACGCATTTACACAGCCTACTTTAGAGTAAGCCTGTGATACTAGGACAATCCAGGGTATAAATCCCTTTCAGGGCTTTGGAATGCCCAGCACTTCCAGCTGTGAACACAAAACCCTCTCCAGGCCCATTCACACACTGCTTTCATGAAACATCTCAACAACGATTTCCTCAAAAGGAAATAATGAAATAAAGTCCTGGCCTAAGTTAATCTTTCGTGTCAGGTTCACAATGTTAAACATACTTTGAAGCCAGCCGCACAAACAAAACCAAACTGCACAATATTAGGCTGGGCTGAGATTACATAAAACAAGCTAAACTCTGGCTTTTTTCCTCCCATTCCTCTCTCCTTCCAGTGAACCCTGATATCTGTCTTTTAAGTGCAATTAGATGCAGGTGAGAAAAATGCTTATCTGCACACAGCTTCCAAATAGGTAATGAGATTTCCAATGATATTCCACCTAATACTGTAGCAACAAGGTAAGTTGGACTGGACAACTTAGAGCTGAGCTGTGTCTGGAAGCTCCTCTTAAAAATTCTTCTTTTTAAAATTATGTTTAAGTCGGCACTTACTTCAAAGTATTCAGTTATCAAAACACATTTTTCAGAGTGCCCTGAGTTTTTCCATACCCATGACTCTTCGCGTGTGTGCTAAGCCTACCTTTCAGCACCCATAATGTTAAGAATACAGGTCTTTCAAGAGAGAAGGACAAAAGCGCGGGTTCTCAGGAGTGACAGATCCAAAGGGAAAAATAATCCTTTCTCTTCCAATACTAAACCCAAGTTGCTGCTTCTCCGGAGTTTCCCCGCACTTTCCCCTCCCCACTCCGCTCCCCTTTCACTGCCCACTTTACCCTGCTTTAATCCTGGCGAAGCCTTTCTCTTGTCTTATTAAGGGTAAACAATAGAAATGTCACAAGGAAACTCAGGAAGAAAATGAAGTCTCTAATTGCTGCCGTTTAACGACTGTAGATAATTACTATCTTCAAAATGTGGTTTTCACAAGCGGAGAGGGAGTCGAGGCGGGTGAGGCTGGCGAGCTCCCCGCCGCTGGGAGGAAATCTGCGAGGCCGAATCCCAGGACCGAGGGACGAAAGGGATGCGGTCCCGTGCCGGGGAGCCCGGGGTGGGGGTCAGCGGCGTTCCTGCCCACTCCGGGACACTCCCGGCCGAGTCACAGACAGTTCAGTGCCCTCGGGCTGCGGCTACCCGTGGCGGTCACCATAACAATATGCAAAGCGCTGCCCGTGGACGCCCCCCGCGCGGATCCCACCGCCCGCTGCGGCCGAGCCGGCGGTGCCGCGCCTGGAGTTCCGGGCCCCGGGCTCACAGTAAGCTGGGTCAGAGGGCCCCCGGGGGCCTCTCAGCTTCGCCAAGGTGGTGGTGGGGGGGGGTGTCCTCGGACACCGCGTGGTGCCTGCGACGGCGGTGCCTCAGCCCTGGCCACTACCCCCGCTACCCGGCCCGGGGCGCGCAGGGAAGTCGAACCCCTATCCCTGCGGTACCGCCGACGACTTGGTCCCCGAACGCTGAGCCCCGCGGGGCGCGGGGTCGCCCCAGTCCCCGCCACTTCCTTCGCCACCGTCCTCGGCGCGGATAGCGCATCCCGGTGCCCGCCGCAGCGCCCCGCGCGCGCCTCCCCGCCCCCGCCGTCCCAGCCCTCCGAGCCGCTCGCGCCGACCCAAGCGCCCGGGCGATCCCCACAGAGCCCCCGAGCCACCCCGCTGGCCCTGCTCGGGGATGCGGGCGCGCTGCTGCCACCCAGCCCGGAGCGCTCGCCGCCCGCCCCAAAGCTCCCCGGGTCGGGGACCCCCAGACTTACCCTAGAACCACCAGCTCCCCGTATTTCACCGGCTCCTTGTTGAGGGCGCAGTGCTCCTCCTGGCCGGGGGAAAACATGGAGCCCTGCTCGGCCGCCGCCGTCGCCTCCGCCGCGACCCCCGCCGAGTCCGCGCCGCCGCTACAATCCCATCCCGAGAACGGAGTGAGCGCGCCAGGGAAGGGCACGGCGGCGAAGGGGGCGCGGGGCGGCCAATCCCGCGGCTGCTCCGTCGTGGCTGCGCGGCTGCCCTGCCGGGCTCTCCGGAGCTCCGCGAAGCGCAGCTGCCCCGAGCCGGACTCGGCAACAAATGGAACCAGGCAGCAGGGGGACCTACCCGCGCCGAGCGCCTGAGCCGCAGCCGCCGCCGAAGCCCCGCGGGAGGGAGGAAGGGAAAGAGCGAGAAAGCTAGGGAGGGGCGGGGGCAGCGGGCGGGGGAAGGGCGGGGGAGGGGGAGGGGCGGGGGCCGGACCGCTGAGCCGCCCCGCGGGCGCGCGGGCAGGTGGGAGCCGCCCGGCCCTCCGCGAGACGCCCGCAGCCCCCCCGCCCACCCGGCGCCCCCTCCCCCGGCGCGTGGGGCCGCCCACGTCCCCTCCCCGCCCCCCTCGGGCCCTGCGGTGGATCGCCCGGGTGTTATGTAAACATAGAGTAAAAGGGAAAAGAAGTTCTTAAAGGAGCAGCTCTATTTTTTTTTTTTTCTCGCTTCCTTTCCCAAACTTAACAGCGCGGGGTCCACAGCCCTGGTCGCGGAGTTCTCCAGCAGCTGAAGGCTGCGCAGGATCCCGGAAGCACAGCGGTCAAGGTTCCCAAGCCTAGCCTAGTTTCCCCAGGTTAGTTAGCTGTAAATAAAGAACTTGCTCTCGGGGTATGAGAGCATTTGCTTTCCCGGTGTCACTGTGTCGCGGCACACATCCGGAGGTGTCCCACAGGCGCACCTGGGTGCCTCCTCTTCCAAAACCAAGTCCTTAAGAGCTTGAAGACGTCTAGAAATTTGGAGGGGCTCGCCAATTGGCACTGGATTAGAGGGAGTCTTGAAGGCACTTGGAGCACACTGCCGTGGTGCAGGATGTAACAACCCGGTTTGTCGTCAGCAGAGTTCCACATGGTTCCAAAAAAATGTTTTGCTGTTGTTGGGGGTTTTTTTGGTTTTTTTTAATCCAGACCCTGTCCGCTTTCCCATACCTTCTCTCAATCCCCTAAGGAATTTAAGAGGAAATTATTTGGGTAAACATTTTAATGGATATAAAAGTTCCTTTATTATAATTTAGCCGATGCATTGTTTGCTTTTTATGCTTTTCTAAATAGTCACTACTATGGCTTTAAAATATTTTAGAGTATAACAGCTTTACTGACTGCTGTTTCTCCTCATACAGGATTTTATTGTTTTCCCATTTATTAAGCACTCATACTGGAAACTCTGCATATTATTGTCAGTCACTGCCTCTCAAGACTGTTAAATAATTTTCAAAGAAATAAATACTGCAAAGCCACCCTATGTATAAACACTGACTGGTGGGCTATGACCCTAAGTAAAGGGCTAGGAAAAAGAAATAATTGCATCAGTAACCTTCCATTGCACCGTTCAGCACCCTTTGTCTAACATTCTCTGACAGGTTATTACTATAGTGACAAGATGCTGCAGGAAATGTTACTTCAGTTAGTAACGAATTTGTTTTTAATTGGGGCTTTAGAAATAAATTATTTCAAAGTAACTAAAGCCACACCATTGGTTAGTCAAACACACAAAAACTTTTTAAACAACATACTTCACCTAAGTATAAAATTTCTATACTTCATCTGAACACCGTTATTCAGCATATTTTACATATTCTCTGTAATATGTATGTGTGTATAGTTAGTTTTAACCAACAATCCTTCACTAAAGGGTTGAATGCTTTCTCATCACTAGGGTCTTGGTGTGAATTTCTGTCTGAATTTCTGCCTGATTAATGTTGACTTCATTTATCTACTCCATGCTCCTACTTACCTTATAGATGTGTGGCTAGCAAAGGTCTAGCAGAATCATGCCTTGGTTATGAAGTCCCCAGTTATTATAGTACCTGGATCTGTCATTCTAACTTCTCCAGGCTTGTTCTGTTGCTGCTACTGCTCTCTAGGCTGCGATTACCCCCTCCCTCCTTCTCCCTTGGCATGCTGTGCTTTTGTGCATTGCATTACACTATTCTGGCTCCATTTCCTCCTTGCTGTGCTCTGCATCTGCTCTTAGGAAGATGGAAACAAACATTTATTAACCTCCTACTAAGTTCCAAACACTAGGCTGAGAGTTTCCCATAAGATGTCTCAGTCTTTGCAGGACCTCCATTCTAGCTGTTTGCCCAGGACGCCTCTGACTTCCAGAGGGCCATCTCTCTCTTTCTGCTCTCCCTGCATGTCTTTGAGCTTGTTTAAAGTTCTTCATCAGGTCTGTCTTTATCAGTTACTTACAGGAAGTGTTGCTTTGAATCAAGTTTTTGTAGCAGTGGAGGCTTTTTATCTTAGGTAACTGCAGGGCTCACAGACCAGTTTGGGGAATTATTCTGACACCTGAAAACCTCAGGAATGCATACAGGCACCAGGAATCGAAATCCAAATGAGCAAAAGGGCCAAGTGAGGACTGTGGCAAATTGGTGAGACTGTGCCATCTCAGAGGCACATCAGACACTGCTCTCCAGCTAATTGTCGCCATGTGACAATAACAGCTTACTGTTGCTAAATTTAATTTTTTTTTAAGTGCAAATCCTGTGTTTTATGCCAAATCCAACTTGTAACTATAGGCAACTCATTCCAGTTCTGTTTTGTTTTGTTTTAAACACAGAATGGACCCACCAAAACCACGTCTGTTTTCTAGATTGGGCCCAAGTTCCCCAAATTTGCTTTGTCTGGTTTCAAGGAAATATATAAGCGAAGGTAAAAAAAGAACCAAAAAACACTTCTCAAGTGGAATCAAATGGCAGGGCTGGGAGGGGAACAGAATAGTGGGGCATAAACTTGATTTTCTCAGAGAGTCCATGGCTTGTATCCCTATAAAAGCCAGCTTGCACCTTTCTCTGTTCATCCCTCATTAGAGTTTTCTGTTCACAACTTAAGCCAGTTAGAACATTACCCCCACCATCCCCTGCTAATATTAGGAATCTGATTGTAGCATGAATTTATCTCGTCTTGAATGTAATTGTTTTAGTTAGTAGCTCCAGGCTGGTGGGACAATCTGGCTGTGCCATCTGCCAACCCACTGAAAGCCAGGGTGGGTTTGACTGACCTGGCTGCCAGGGCAGACCACCACCCTCCCTCCCTGCTTGCCATTCCATTTGTGTCTCTCCGAAACCACTCTCCTGAAGAGGATGAACCACCCACAGCATCCCAGAGGGAGCTGATGCTACTTCTTGGGCTACCTAAGGCCATATGTTAACTTCACAAATAAATAATGTAAGGCTTTCTCTTGATTTTTACCCCCAAGTTAGGTCTATCTCTTTTAAGTTAGAATGAAAAGATTTAGTGAAGAAGCTTATGTTTGTCTTAAATAAAATCAATCAAATGCCTTCCAGTATTTCTAGAATAAAGAGTCTAATTTTTAGTCACTCTCCATTCTACCTTACATGTTTATGTTTGCAAAGACTAAAGAGTAAGAAGATCCTTTCAAAAAATGTATGTCTGGGGCTTCCCTGGTGGCGCAGTGGTTAAGAGTCTGCCTGCCAATACAGGGGGCACAGGCTCGACCCCTGGTCCGGGAAGATCCCACATGCCGCAGAGCAACTAAGCCCGTGCACCACAGCTACCGAGCCTGCTCTCTAGAGCCCGCAAGCCACAACTACTGAGCCTCTGTGCCACAACTACTGAAGCCCAGGCACCTAGAGCCCGTGCTCCGCAGCAAGAGAAGCCACCACAATGAGAAGCCCACGCACCGCAACAAAGAGTAGCCCCTGCTCACCACGACTAGAGAAAGCCCGTATGCAGCAACGAAGACCCAACGCAGATAAAAATAAATAAATATATAAATGTATTTATTTTAAAAAAATATGTTTGGATAAACTAGTCATTTTTTTCATGAAAACTTAGATCACATTTTATTTTTAAATTTTCTGTATACATACCTATATATATCTATATATACACATATATATACACATATATAGATATATATATATATTCCTGATTGGGAAAGTAATATGAGCTCCTTGTCAGAAGTTTGGAAAACATGAAAAAAGGGATTTTTAAAAATTTTATTTTATTTAAATCATCCATAGTCTCATTACCCAGAAACAACCCTGTATAACATTTTTTTATCTATTTCCTTCATCTTTTTTATTTTTAATTTTTTTACATAGTGTGATAATACTGTGTATAATCACCTTTCACACAGTTTGTTATCTCCTCTTTTTTCACTTAATGTTACAATTGTGAGCAGTTTTCTCTTGTCGCTAAAACTTCATTTTTGTTGTTCCATCATGTGTATCAATATCTATGAACCATCCTCCCTCTTATAAAACATTGGGAAGATTTCTAATTTTTGGTCTTCTAAATAATGAACATATTTATATTCATTATTACTGCATGAGAACAATTTCCTACAAGTGAAATTATTACATCAAATGATATAAACATTTTTAAGACCCTTCCATGCATATTTCCAAACTGTTTTTCAAAATGATTATAGCTGCCAAGTTATACTGCAACCATCAGTAAATGAGAGAGAGCCTGCCTCAGGGAACTCTCGGTAGCATTTTTAAACCCTCACTAATGTGACAGGTGATAATTTTTATTTGCATTTCTTTGATTGCTATTGTGAGGTGCACTCACATTTTTAAAAACTTGTGGTAGAAAGTACATAACATGAGATCTACCCTCAACAAAACTTTCAGACTCCAGTAGACTTTTGTTAACTGTAAGCACAATGTTGTACAACAGATCTCTAGAGCTTTTTCATCTTGTATGACTGAAACTTTATACCCATTGAACAGCAACTCCCGTCTCTCCCTCCCCGCAGCTCTGAGAAATTGCACTTTTTACTTGCATAAGTCTGGCAACTTTTGATATCTCATATAAGTAGAATCATGCAGTATTGTCCTTCTGTGACAGGCTTATTTTTTAGTAAATTGTCCTCAAGGTCCATCCATGACATATCATATAACAGGATTCCCTTCTTTTTATGGCTGAATAATATTCCACTGTAGGTATGTACTACATAATCGAGTTATCCATCTATGGGTATTTAGGTGTTTTTACCTCTTGGCTATTGTGAACAATGCTGCAATGAACATGGGAGTGCAAATCTCTTCAAGATCCTGATTCCAGTTCTTTTAAATAAATACCCAGAAGTAGGTTGCTGGATCATATGGTAGTTCTATTTTTAATTTTTTGAGGAAGCTCCATTCTGTTTTACCATTTTACATCTCCATCAACATGGCACATGG